TAAGTAATTTATGAACACTGATTGTCGTTGTCTGAGATTTGAGTCAGTTTGGAAAAAATATTAGAGTTATGTTAAAGTAAAAAAAAAAACAACAACAACAAAATACATTTAGATTATTTTGGTTTAGTGAGTTAGACATGGAAGTGTTGCAGCATCACATTTCTTCTTTGATTTTTCTTTTTCTTTGTAAAACCACCTAAATTAATCCCTATTTCAAGCCTTTTTAGTAAACCTGAATATCATATTGCACCACAATTTACTTTAGGTTTTAGAGTGCCTGTGGATATTAAAAAGCCAGAGCTTTTAAAATGGCAAATGAACCACTGAAAGCCGAGCTCAGGCTAATCTGCCAACATTTCTCAAACACACATCATAACTTGCTGCCGAGCCCCGAGACAACACACAGACCCTGCTTTCTCTCATCTTATTGTTTACAATTACTCTCAGTGTATCCTTAAATTTTCCATATGTCGTGTCATCTGTAAAGTTTTTCTCACACATTTGAAACACTTTCAGGTGACAGAGAAGATGGTGTAGGGTTTTTTTTCTTTCTTGGGTTGTTTTAGGAAGTTCTCCATCACTGAAAAGCTTTAGAAAAATCAAACATTACAATGTCTGCATCAATGACGCATTAAATCTTGCCTTTTGCAGAGGGACAAACCTTTTTTTTCCTTTGATGGGATTTATAAAATCCTGCATCCAAAGTCTGTGAAATTTAAGTTTTATTTTGCAAATCTAAAACACAGTGGTTTAATTTTGAGTTGGATCTGGTTTAAAGCCAAGATAAATGAATGTTAATGAACCCAAATCTGTCGATTCTTATAAAACTAGTAATCTGAGCGGGCTAAGGACAAGCCTGATTATTCACTCAACCTCCGGAGTTGTGGTCCAGCGAGGATTACAAACAAGCAGCTAACATTTTTTTTCTCAGACTGGTTATTAGGGTAAAACTTCAAAGTATATTAGGCTGGACTTTCTTGACTGACCCTTGAGAGGGTCCGTTTGTCTCATAGCAGTTATGAAGGCCAGATCGTGAGCATGCTTTATTAGGGGAAAGGAGCAAAGTGAAATTTCTGTATGTGTTTCATATGTTTCTGTCTCTTAGGGCCTCATTTTGTAGGTGTGATGTTAAATACGCAGTATGGACTCCTGAGCGGGACATGGACACTAGAGGGCGTGACCAAATGTTAGAGAACTCCCACTGATGTCCAACTTCTGCTGATAAACTCCAGGGATTTCAACTTGTCAAATCAAAAGTTCACATATTAAAGCGTGAGGAGCTTATTTCTTACACAAACTTTGCTTATTTTAGGTGTTGAAACTCTGCAGGTTACGGTTCAAATGGAAAGAGGAGCCACAAAGACGTTTCACTAAAATTTCAGAAATATCTCAAGAATTTCTTCTTCTATGCATGTGACTCAGAAGTTGTTACTGCAGAACTTAAAGGGAGGTCATCTGGTTTTACTGTTGTGAACTAATCCAAACAGGGTAGAAGCAGTGTGAAGTTTAGAGATACAGACTTGTTAACTGTAAGGTCGTCAGTCCAGATCCTTGAACTGACTGAGGGTGTGAATGGAAAACATACCAACAGTCCTTTCATCTACAGTACTCCTAATCTCCATCTATTAAAAAGCAGCTGGTCAGTGGAGAGCATAAGGCAGGTGTTCAGTGCGTGTCAGCTGGAGTTAACACAGGATCAAAGCAAAGATTTGTGACACAATATGTGTTGTTTTGTGGTATTTGTTAGGTTAAACCTCAGTAATGTTCCAAAAATTTCATAATTTTTTTTTGCTTCACAGTTTCCATTTGTCTGACATTAATTGGTCCTGGTCTCTTTTCCATTAGAGGTACAAAGCGGCCCTAATAGGTTTCACTTACAGCTGTAAAATTCTGGTGCCACTTCCAATCCTATGTGTGTGGAAGCCTAAAAACGTATAACATCCCATTGATGTAGGATGTTTTTATGGATTGCCAAATGTCCCTGCCAGTCACAACAGGGAAAAGCTGCAGAGCCGCAACCTAATCCCTGAAAACCCTGCAGATTTGTCTGCAGAACCGAATGGTTGTGGAATTTCTTTAATAACATAAGAAAAACATCTTAAATGAAATATGTAGAACGTAGGTTGAATATCACTGAACCATAGAGGCATCATATCACACTCTTCCTATTCTGTTTGTTAACCTGCAAACACAAAGACTCTTTCAGTCATAAAAGAATAGTGAACATAAAGTAAGAGTCATGACCCGTAACTGAAAGACACACAGCTGGTCCCACAACAGACCAGGTTGGGCCAACCCCTGAATATTAATGGTTACTAAAGTATCTTGGCAGGAATGTACTCAAATTCTTCACAAACTTTAAATTTTATAATCTAAACTTCACTTTACCTATTTTACCTATTTCTTATATGATTACGGGAGAAGATAAGTACACATACAGTCCGTTCTGTGGCATTTTTACCACCTTCCATTAAAATGAACTAAACATGTTATGTTTAAAAAAACCGTTCTACTGAAGTGAAAAGTTTTAAATAAGGATCAATGGTCAGAGAATGTGTTGTGGATGTTTGTCTGCAACTCATGCCCCCTAGGGCATAATCACCATCTCTGAAGTGAGGGGACAGAGGTCTTTGAGTGGTTTATCATCTTCTTGCATTCAATCACACCTCTCCTTAGTGGCTAAAAACACATAATCAGTAACAACCACAGTACAGCACCAGGGGATCAACTTCAGTTTATTTAAATTACAGTATTTACTAACAAAATCTAACATAGCTGCCAAACTCTGGTTGAGTTAGCACAATTACCCTCCTACAGGGTATGTAGCCAGATCATTAAGTGCCAAATGGCAACACTGTTGCCAATGTTCAGTAAAACAAATTTCCTGTAAACAAACTAATATTATCAGTTTATTTTTTTCTTTTGGACCTAAGTAGAAATAATAACAAAATTAAAGCTGCAAGCAGAGTTGCGGCCCTCGCAGCTTCGCACTGCTTTGGCCTTGTGGCGACTGTGGGGGAGGTGGCATTACCCCACTTTTGTATTTTGAAAAAGTAAAAGAAGTCAAAAAAGCTCAAATTAAGGGAAAAAAAACATGACTGACTGGTTGGCAACATGTCAAAATGGGCTAAAACTGAAAAAAAAAATTAGTTGGAAGCACCTCAAAACAAGCCTAAACGGAAAAACAAGCATAACCAACTGGTTATAAACATTAAAAAAACAAGTCAAACCTGAAAAGACCATTACGGATTGGTTGGAAACATCTCAAAATGGACTAAAACTGAAAAAAACATAACCCATTGGTTGGAAACATCTTAAAGAGTAACTTACCCCAAAATTAACATTTTTAGCTGATAAACTGTCTAGAATATGTCTAAAATGTTATATAGTGCTGTTTCTGTGCTAATTTTGATGTTTTTGTGCGTATTTGTTCATTACTGTAACATTTTGTCTAAAAACGTCTTTTTGCTGCTCATATGGGTAGAGCAGTGGTACTGCAGGCTAATTTGCATATTGGTTAACGGTTCTCCACTGTGACGTGCTTCTCCACAGTTTCGTCACAGCGGCTGTGTTCTGATATAAAAGCCTCTCTCTAAGACACGCCCCTGCACCACGACCCTTCGCGCCTTGGGGCGGAGTTATCTTTTCACAGTGGGGCTAAGATACACTTTAAATAGGGCTAAAACTGAAAAAATACATAACCAACTGGTTGGAAATATCTCAAAATGTGCTAAAACTGTAAAAATAAATAATTAAAATAATAAAAATAAACATAACCGATTGGTTGGAAACACCTTAAAACAAGCTAAAACTAACCGATTGGTTAAAAAATTCCAAAAACAAGCTAAACCTGAAAAAACCATAACGGATTTGTGAAAATCACCTCAAAACAAGCTAAAACTGAAAAGAAATAATAATAATAAACATAACAGATTGGGTAAAAATGCCAATAAACAACCTAAACCTGAAAAACGCCATAACCGATTGGTGAAAAACACACCAAAACGAGCTAAAAAAAAACACATAATTGATTGGTTGAAAACCATTCAAAACCGCCAAAAACCATTTTAAAGTTGTGTTGTAGGGCCAAAAAAACTCAAAGCTGTCAAAAACCATGTGAAAGGGGCTTAGGGAGGTTGAAAACCCCTCAAAATGTCACATTTTTGCCTGTCACTCAGTCTGTCTCCTGCCACGCCTCTCTGTTCCAGCAATCACCTTCATTTTGATCACCTGTTCCTTGGACTATTTAAGCTCCTGCCTCTCTCCAGACCAGTGCCAGATTATTGAACAGCCTCAGCCTAGTAAATAACCAGCGTCCTTGTCATGTCCTTGCTGATTTCACGTTTGACCTTCTGCCTGCCTTTTAACCTCCAACCACAGCCTGTTCCTCTCCTAGATTGTTTGCTACCTCTGACCCTCGGCTACAGATCCCGTTTCTCCTCTCTGGACATCGTCACTTGATTTGTGATTTGGATTTGTTTTCGGCTCTCTGATCTCCTGGCTCTGACCCTTGACCCAATTCTGGACTACTGCACTCAGCCTTACCCCACTCTCGTCACACGGACTTCGTCAAACAAACTGCACAGCTCTTACCTTCGAGGAGTTTCATCCAGCTAAAAGCAGGTCAGTAGATAACTTCATTTTTGTCATAAATCCATTCTTGACCCAACACTCATTTGTGTTCTGCTCTACAGAGCGTGCATCCCCGAGAGTCCGACGAGATGCCAACTTCCGGTTTTCAAAATAAGACCTTAAAACTTGTTTGGCCTTCGCCTTTTCTGAATCCTTAATCTGAAACCTGTCACAAAAATCACCAAAAACCATCAAAAAGCATGTAAAATAGGCCTGGGAGAACTTAAAAAACCCTAAACCTGTAATTCAAAATGGCCGACATGTCATTTTGTGTCTTGAGACATCTTAGTTTCATGAGCAATGGTCATTGATGACACACAAAATTTGGTACAGACTGGGTGAATTATCTGTCCTAGGTGGCACTGTAGAGTAAACATTCAATGTAATCCTATAAGCCTCTTCAGAGGTTAACAAAGGTCATACATTTCCAGTTTGGAGAAAATCGGGTCATGCATGTGTGATCTAAAGCCAAACGTATGCAAACGGCGAAGCATCATCATTTGCCACTTGGTCACGCCCACAAAATCCAGCCAGCAATCAGTGTTGGGATAAGAATGCAGCATCAACAAGTTGTGTCACCAGACTCAGGTATAAATCTTTATGAGTGACAGTGTAAAAAAAATGCAGCTCTTGAACAAGCCACTTCTTGTTTTAAGCGGGCAGGGCTAAGGTGATGTCACCATATGACCATATGAGTGTAATGAGTGCTGGTCTGGTATGACACACAGAAATGTTCATGCAGCTGTGACCTTGTTTGTGGAAGTTATTGAACCTTGATATTTTATGGCAAATGGTAAATGGTAAATGGTAAATGGTACTGAACTTATAGAGCGCTTTTCAAGTCCCTCCGGACCCCCAAAGCGCTTTACACTAACAGACATTCACCCATTCACACTCACATTCACACACTGATGATGGCAAACTACACTGTAGCCACAGCTGCCCTGGGGCGCACTGACAGAGGTGGGGCTGCCATGCATCGGCGCCACCGGACCCTCTGACCACCATCAGTAGGCAAGGTGGGTGAAGTGTCTTGCCCAAGGACACAACGACTGAGATGGCTGGACGGGGGATCGAACCAGTGACCTTCTGGTTCCAGGACGACTCCCCTAACCACTCCGCCACAGTCGCCCCCCAAATGGTCAGTATTTGAGCCTTGGCCACACCCACATGGTTTGTGGCAAAAAATTGATACATTTTGATGTCCAATGCCTTAAGACTGTGATGAGCATTTGAAATCTGTGAGTTAAATTTGTAGGTGGAGTTCGTTCAGACACCCGAATAGGAAAAGACACAAAATGGCAGCTTCGATCCAAGATGGCTGACTTCCTGTGGCTTTTGGACCATTAGTCCAAGAGACTTTTTTGTCAGTCTCAAGAAGTTACAGATTTTTGCCAAATTTCATAATTGTCAGTCTAAGCACGGCTTAGGAATAATATTTAAAATTATTCTAGGTGGCGCTATAGAGTGATTAGGCCACGCCTACAAAATGTTACACTGCAGTCCTGTTGGTGGCCTGATTAGGATCCATCCTGGGCAATTTGGTGCAGATCAGCTGAAATTTGTGAATTTTAGAGCCAAACGTATTTCAATGGCGTGACGCCTGAACTCGCCACGCCGCCACAGCCACGCCTTCCAGCCAAAAGTCTTGGTGTTTAAATCCAAGTCAGACCAACTTGTAATCTGAGCGCTGACACAAAATGAAGGTGATTGGGTCAAACGTGTGAGAGATGGATCTTTCCAAGCAAAACAAGTCACTTCCTGTCCAGAGGGGGTGGGGATTTTATGATGTCATCATATGACCACAATGTTTCATCAAGCATCCAACATGGATGACTCACAGTGAGTTTGATGGAATTCGGTCTATCTATGTGGAAGTTATAGCGTTTTGAAAATGATGGTGAGAAGGTCAACCTTGAGGTCTGGCCAGGCCCCCTAAACATGCTCAAAAACTCATCGTTTTGATAACTTTTAATCCCCCATGTCTTAGCAGTATACTGACCACGTTTGAAGCCAATAGGTAAAAATCTCTAGGAGGAGTTTGCAAAAGTTCAACATGAGTGAAAGTGAAACTTAGCAAAAAATTGACCTTTGACCAAAAATGGCCGACTTCCTGTATATTTTAGGGAATACCTCCAAGAAACTTTTTTTTTTAATATTTTGGGGAGTCCTACCTAAGTGCCAAATTTCAGCTCTCTAGGACTCGCCAGCTCGCTGTTGAGCCGTTTGGCCACACCCACTTTTGATTCCAATGAAATCCTGCTATTTCACCTGGGGGGCAACTTTGGGCCAGGTTTGGTGAGTTTTTGAATAAGTTAAAGCCCCCAAAAGTCCGCCGAAAGTGAAGGAAAAATAATTAGAAGAAATCTTGGGATTACAATAGGCCTTCGCAGCGCTCGCTGCTCGGGCCTAATAAAACATACTTTGATGTGAATAAGAGCATTTCTGAAATATCTGTGAGAACCCTGTCCTGCTACCTGCCCAGTTTCTCCCTACAATAAGTTATAATCTGGAGGAGTAGAGAACTTATGGGGCGGCTGTGGAGGTGCAGTTAGGGGAGTCGTCCTGTAACCGGAAGGTTGCCAGTTCGATCCCCCATTGCAACCCTCTCAGTTGTTCTGACCTTGCGCAAAATACTTCACCTGCCTTGCCAGCTGATGGTGGTTTGAGGGTCCGGTCTCGCCTGTGCATGGCAGCCTCACTTCTGTCAGTATGCCCCAGGGCAGCTGTGGCTAAAATGTAGCTTACCATCATCAGGGCATAAATGTGTGTGAATGAGTGAATGTCTGTAAGTGTTAAGCAATTTGGGGTCTAGAGGGACCTGATAAAGCATTATAAATGTTCAGTCCATTTACCAGCAACCCTCGAACCCACTGGTGGACACCGGCAGTGAGGGATGCTGTCAAGCTGAAAGAAGGAGTCGTATCAGGTCTTTTTGTCCTGTGGGACTCCGGAAGCAGCTGAAAGGTATTGGCAGTCCAAGCGGCTTGCAGCTCGTGTGGTCACTGGTGCAAGAACTCTGTGGGAGGAGTTCGGAGAGGCCATGGAAAGCTTCGAGGCGATTCTGGTCCACCATCCTGCATCTCGGGGTGGTGGGGGGGGGGGGTGGGGTTGCCATCAACACTGTTTATGGTGGGTATGTGCACTTCTGACTTCAACTCGGGACTGCGCACCAGAGCACGTGTGTGCGTGCATGTTTTTGCTTCACAGAGGGGGTAATTGGAAAGTCCCCATGAGGATGGAAGAACAAGCATGTGTGTGTGCGTGCGTGGGGTGTAGGGCGAAGCACTGTGTTCATACTGCTAGATAGCTTTATTACAGGACATGGAGACTTTTTGTTTCAGCGGAAATATTTTTAAGGCGCACTATTAAAAAATAAGGTCGCATTTGAGACCAAATTAGTCGCATTCTAGAGCCCTGGATAATTTTACTGATATGTATAAAGACTGCAAAGGCTGAAAAATCCTGAAGTCCATAGAAAATTAGAGGTAGTATGAGAATTAATTTGTAATGCTTTTTAAGCTAAAAACGGGGGCCGGGGGTCATATTAAACATGAGATTGTATTATACACAAATAAATACGGTACTTTCATTTTGAACAGAGGTGAGGTTATTTTTTTTCTTTCTTTTGCATTGTTGCAGGAACTAGGTTAATTATTGCCCATGAATTTCTATTGGGCTGGAGAAAAGAACACTCCTGGCAGAAAATGAAGAGACTGGACTGGAACCAAACACGAGAAATTTGTTTTTCAAGTAAGAATTTAAATATCTACTAAATTTTCCCCAATGTAGAAATTAACAAATTAATACTTTTAAGTAAATACAACATCAATTTTATTCAAATTAGTCTTTATTTATAAGATGATACAAAAATCTATTTCTTTATCAGGCAATAATATAGTCCTCTCAGCCATTAAAAAAAAGTGTAGACAAATTTAAAATTTCTAAAACATTTTTTGTTCTTCCAGGGATGTCACATCTTTCTATTGTGCAGTTGTGGAGAATATGTTGAACAAATTTCCCTGGGATGACACTGTTCTCTGTGACCTGGTTGTCCTCGATCCCGCAAAGAGAGCTGACTTGGATTACACTGAGTCTCAAGGAATTTTAAATAGTCCTCCAACTCTGAACTAGAATAACATTACATGCAACAATCACTATCATTCAGATACTATTTGTACTGCATATTAGAAAAATAAAGTGATTTAAATTTGTAAGTAAGTAATACAGTATCAGTCCACTGACATAGATGTACATGTATATTGATTTTTGAAAGAATGATTGTGAGATACATGAATTTGATGGATAGTTGTTCACTTAAATTCACTCACTTATGGCTATAAATTCTTATTGGTGATTATTTGATTTTTACAGTTCTCTCTCTTGCCAACAAGTTCACCCCCTTAGTGAACAAAAATGATCTGAAAGAGGAGGAATACCAGCTCCTGGAGGATGGGGAATTAAAACTTCTAGATGGAGAGGGAAAGCGTATCAGACTGGACACTGTATGGATTTCCATCTTGCAGATGAAGATCCCCACGGACAGGAAAGGTTCCCAAGCCTACTGTGACTGCCCTGCTCTCCTTGCCACAAAGCAATGTAGACTGTGAAAGACTATTTTCTCAAGTGAGGAAAATCCACACAGAATGCAGGAAAAATATGAATCCTGACACTTTGACTGCACTCATCCAGTGCAAAGTGAACACAGACACTTATTGTGACATTGCTCCAACAGAGAGACAGCTTCAACTGGCCAAGAAGGCTTCACTTGAATACAACCAGGAACACCTGACAGGACAATGAGGTGTATTTTGATTGTGTTGGGTGTAGTATCCACTACATTCAGCAAAATATGTTTGTTGTTCTAAATAAAGTTTGTATCGTGAGAGTTATAAGGATTTTTTGTGATTTATAAGGATTTTTGAAGGTGTGAATGCAGGTAGAGAGCCAAAAGGGTTGACGTATGTTATTGTGAATTTTGTAGTAAACCTTACAGCAAAATGGCACGCCCTCATGAAGCAAAACACAGTGATGAACCAGAAGTGGCAAATGCACTGAAATGTCCAAAAGGCTCTAAAGAGTGAAGGCAACAGTTGTCATTACTGAGAAACAAAGGAAACTGTGCCCATAATAATAGAGTGATTAAAGAGAGCAAAGGAGTGGTCATACCCCGTCAAAAATCTGTTAAATCTGCAAAAGCTGGTGATTACTTACTTGCATTGCCTCAACTGTGAGTGCTACTACAAGTGGAAATCCTTATGGAGGCATACGCAGAGGTGTTACCTCAGTCAAAAAGTCAGAGGACTTAAGCCAGGAACGTCTCAAGTTCAGGCCCTTTGTAAATATGAAGAGCCAGTTCTAGAAAGCGTGAATGCAGTTTTGGAAACTAGTTCTTAACATGCACGATGATGACATAACAAACGTTGTCCACAGTGAGAAGTGCATCATCAAATTAGGAGAACATTTGTTCAATAAACATGGTCAAAATGTTACAAAACATGAATACATCAAACAGAAGACATGTGAGACTGCACAAGTTGTTCTGCAAGGATGTAAAGATGGCAAGTTGGAGATGCTGTCAGATTTCCTTGTGCCAGCTAACTTCCCTCATGTCATAGACGCCATTACGAAGGTGATTGGCTTGGATGAGAGAACAAACGTCTTCAAAACACCATATTTAGCACTCAAGTTGGGTCACAACCTCAAAAAAGTGGCCCATATTCTTGAATGTGAGGCTATGATCTAAGGCAATGAGAATACCATTCAGAATGTGCAAACTTTCAAACAGATCTGTGAGACCAGATGGAGTGAGTGTGTCTCTCTCCATGGTACGTTCACACCGAACGCGTTTTGAGCTGCATGAGCGGCCGGTTTACATGCAAATTCTATGGTGGATGCGCCTCTAGTGATCTCACGGCACGTCAAGTCCATTCAGCACGGCGCGCAAGGTAGTGGTAGGTGCGATAGAGCGTTTTCCGTGCATGCGGTGTGTCCAAAGCCGCCAATGCTTGAGTTAAAAAATCTGAACTTTTGCTGCTCGACATGCAGCATCATCCAATCGGAGAGACTCATTTTTCCATGAGACAGTTTCCTGAATGTTGCCCACTAACCCGAAACAGATGGATAGGAGCTCTTTAGCTGAAATGGATCGTCTGCAGTAGATGTTCTGGCTGGAGATATCAGTACCAATGTGGGTCAGCAACTCGTTAAACTGACCGCGGTGTTAAACTGGGCTCGGGACAAAAATAATAGTTTGTCAGCTTGCAGCTCCTGGAGTGGTGAAACTCACCAAACAAACTGCCTCTAAATTATCTGGTGAATTAAACATCTGGTGTGTGTGCAATGTTCGCTTGCTCTTTAGCAAATAAAGCAAAGCCATTTTCTTTCTTTTATCTTTATTTTGTCCACTGAAGACAGACTGGAAAAAAACCAAGATGCTCCTCCCTCTTCAGACATGCCTCTAGTCAGTCCCTGTCTGAACGTAGTCCAACTTGAGGCGTTGGGAGCTTTGTTGCTGCTCAAAACACATCTGGTGTGAACGTACCATCAGGACTTTGAATGGAGCTAAATGGAATGCCTCTCAGCTTATTCCCTTTGATGAAGACATTAGAAAAATGCACCAGTATCTTCACACGAATAGAATGGAGTGGCTCAGGAACCTGAAGGAACAAGTAGTAAAGAAGAACTAGGCTGAACTTGCCCAGAACACGCTTTGTAAGGTGATAATATTCAACGGGAGAAGAGAGAGAGAGAAATATCTAAGATGTCTCTGAATGCTTTTACCTTGAGAGACACCTCCTTCTCCCATCCAGATGTCAAGCTTGCTTTGTCAGAACTTGAGAAGAAGCTGTAAGCACTTCCAGCGAATTGAGATAAGAGGCAAACGCGGCCGAAAGGTTCCCATTCTCCTCACTCCTGATGGTATCATCGATGGAGTTGCTTGTCCAAAATTGCCATAATTGTGATGTGCTGGATGAAAATCCATACATGTTCGGGAGACCACAGACTCTCAATTACTTCAGAGGACTTGATATTATTCATGAGATGGCTCAAAGCTGTGGAGCAAAATACCCAGAAACAATGTCCTCATCCAAACTAAGGAAGCACATTGCCACCATGTTAAAGGTTCTTAACCTGAAGGACAATAAAATGGACAACTAGCTCACTTCCTAGGCCTAGGCCATGACATAAGCGTCCATTGTAGGTAATATAGATTGCCTGAACAGACACCTCAGCTGGCAAAAATAAGTAAATTGTTGATAGCGCTAGAAAAATGACAGCTCTCAACCTTCAAAGGAAGAAATCTGGATTAGATCAGCATTGATCCACAAGGTAAATTGGTGATTTATAGTGAAGATTTAAGTAGACCACCTTGCATGACAGATTTGGTTTATCTTGCTGTTGTTGTTTTTTATCTTTTTGAATTTTTTGTTGAATTTGGTGAATTATAACAATACTTTAATAGATGGTTTGAGTGTCCCTTGAGTGAAATTCTGTAAGAACAAGTAGCCCAGTGGGCACGACTGCTCAGTGTTTAGAACCGATACCTCACAGCAAGAAGGTCCTGGGTTTGATCCCCGGTTCGGACTTGGGGTCTTTCTGTGCGGAATTTGCATGTTCTCCTCGTGCTTGCATGGGTTTTCTCCAGGTACACTGGTTTCCCCTACCCCTAAAAACATGTACAATAGTGTAAGGGTTTAGCTTACACTTCTTATAACAAGGTTATAATAGTAATTTTATTAGCAAGGGATCTCTTTTTATTTTGGGTAAACATGATTGTGAACAATTAATTTCCTATAAAAGTTTTGGGACTAACAATAACAAGCTTTTAACTTCTTAATTGTTAACCACACTTAAATAGAACACAAATGTCAGTTTAGATGTTAAATACCAGATATTTGAGGCAAGTTATCTTAGGGTTGGCAAGGAAGAGTTTAAGCAAAAGGGGGGAAGAAAGATGTTAGCTTTCTTATACTTTTATCTTAAATAATGTGGGTTTTTAACCAGAAGGGCGAAGCGTTCTATGCTCAGCTTCGGTCAGACCTTGACGTCACACACAGCCAGCTTTTACCTTGAGATGATGTTCTGTCACCTGCCAGGTAGGTGGGGGTGCTGCTGGAGAATCTGTCTTTAGACCATAGAACAGGGGACCCCAAGGCGTGTTTTGTTGACTCGTTTACATCCACGTCAGCCGTAAAAAGAAGGCAAAGCCTCGACTGGAACCCAGGTTTCAGAATAAAACTTCCGTCTGGAGAGTTTCTGAAGTGGATAAACCAGGCATTGGTTTTCCACACTGTGAGGTTTCCCTGTTGGCGTGAAGGGGCCAAACCTGATACAGTTTTCAGCTTTTGATTCCCCGGAGAGAATCTGGCTGTCAAAAAGTGACTGACGGCAGTCTGTCACCTTTCTGTTCTCTGGTGGACGGGCGGAAACTGTTAGTTTTTAAAAGCTTAGAGAATCTATGGTCCGCCCTACGGAAGGTTAGATAAGAAAAGAAATTATCAATAAAAAGTGTTAGTTTCAGAACTGGCCGTGCCCTCCTGGAACTAAACCAAAGATTATTGCTGCTTGTGTGGTTCAGAACAAAACATTTCATGACCTATTTAAATTATCAGATGAGCACTTATTCAAAACATAACTGAAAGAAAAATGAATTGCTTCAAGTTCAAATCATTTGCAAACATGATTCAGACAAGTAAAACATTGATATTTCATCAACATAAACCATAAAGAGTATTTTAGTTAAATAAGAATTTTTCCCACAGAAAAACCATACATAGCTGAAATCATACTGAGGGAGAAAAGAGATCTGTCCTCTTTTCTCCTGTAACTTTGATAAACATTATTTGATTATCAAAATGCATAATACTTTCAGTTAAGAGAACAATAAATCAAAAAAGAGAAGATTCTTCTGTGTTTTATTGATTAGAAGGAAAGAGAATGTCTCTTTGAAGTTAAGGCTACCTGGGGTGGCCTAAATACAGTTCTAAGTGGAACAGAGTTTTTGTCCATTCGAAGGCCCATCAGAGGACTGAGAGTCCAAGACAGTTCCTTGATAATTTGACTCGAGATGACCCCCACAATAGGCTGCCTCCAGGCCTCCCTTGAAAAAGAAATCTGAGATCTCATTGGGATTTGCCTGGTTAAATAATGATAAATAAAATAATATAGTCTAATTTTTCTAGTTTTTGGTAA